GAGGAAAACGAAACTGAGGTGTGCATGACTTTGGAGGAGTATCCCCCATGCACCTTCAGCTGAATAAATGCATACCTACTTTACAACTTTAACGAGTTGTGGAGTCTATTCCGATATCACTATAGTCAATAGATTTCTCTCTAGCTCTATCTACATGATGAGGACTGGCTATGCTTACAGAAATGTAGATGGTAATGTTACAGACTAAGCAAAAAAGCTTTACAGATACAAAAAGCTTTCAGCTTTCTATAGTAGAGTCTGCTAAATTAAAAAGTGTGTGGAAGCTAAGGTGGGTGTTTGGGGTGTGGGCATATTCCCTGCACAGGAAAAAAAGGTAAAAAAATCAAAACTGCAACAGCAAAACACAAAAAAAAAACAACAAACAAACAGTCTTGGGGAAATCAGGCATCAGAGGTTTAATAGACACACACGCACCTCCAGAACCAGAGCTGTTCAAGAAAACATCTCCAGCTGCAAACATGTGCCCCCTCCCCACCCCAGGTAAATTAATATTTTTGTTGCTGTTTTTCTCCAGATATGAAAAGGTTTTGTACTTGCGCCTAGATCTCTGGTGTGGGGTGTCTCACACGCACAGAAACCTCATGTACGGTGTGGCAGAGAAGAGTTACAAAAACTACTGAAATGCAACTGGCAGATACCTGGAAGAAACTCCATCCTGTTTCTACTGTCATAAAGAGCAAAGCAGTGACTTTAAGCTGCATAAGCTCAAACTCTGACCGTCTAAAAGAGTAAATATTGTCAATAAGCTGGTCATAATTAGGCAATGTAAATTTGGGGGGGTTAAAAATTATTGTTTTCATAAACAACACAAAAAGTTTTAAAGCTCAGACCAGCTTCACTTCCCAAACCCGTACCATCCTAGATACCCCCAAATACTGAAAATCCCTTGCCCCTCCGCAAATCCATTTAGTTTTGGCATGTCCCTTTTCCAGGCCGAGAGCTGCAGTTCTCTGCCCAGACAGAACCACAGCCTGGGCAACTCTGGTGTCTCCAACAGGAGAGTGCCAGAACAAGGCACCCCAGATACACATTCACATTTTATTATTTTTTTTGTTTGTCAAGGCTTTTCTATTATTTTAATTCTGGTCAATAAGGCAAAAAAAATCAGGATAAAACAATTTTCTGACCCCAGATAATCATAGAATCATACAATAGTTAGGATTGGAAAGGACCTTAAGATCATCAAGTTCCAACCCCCCTGCCATGGGCAGGGACACCTCACACTAAACCATATCACCCAAGGCCTCATCCAACCTGGTCTTGAACACTGCCAGGGATGGAGCATTCACAACCTCCCTGGGCAACCTATTCCAGTGCCACACCACCCTAACAGGAAAGAATTTCCTCCTTATATCCAATCTAAACTTCTCCTATTTAAGTTTTAACCCATTGCCCCTTGTCCTATCACTACAGTCCCTAATGAAGAGTCCCTCCCCAGCATCCCTATAGGCCCCCTATAACCTGGACTGCTGTCTGAAAGAGTATCTTCAGCTCATCTCACCCTTGTATAAACAAACAAAAATGGAGAAGTGATTGGTTTGAATGAAAATTCAGTAACTGCTCCCTCCCATCTTTAGCCAGAATTACTTGTGAAATTGAACTCCACTTCCTCCATCTCATATTCAGTTTGGCACATGAAAGTACAAGTACTAAGAGTTATGATAGTACCAACCTCAGTTCCCCATCAACACCAAATCATCTGTCTGTATTTAAAATAGGAGTTCAACGTCTTCTGTTGAAACATGGAAACTCCACCTCAGTCATAGAGCATCTGAGTATAAAACTAATCTTCTGAGTAGTAAATATTAGACTGACATACAGCAGTAACTGTATGATTTCAAACAATTCACTTTAGAGTTTGGGTTCCTGGATTTCTAGGAGCTGACTGTTAAAGACACATCAGGCTGTATCTTTGGATTTTCCAAGAACATAACCATGGTCCTAGACCTCCTGGCTACCTGACATCAGAAAGGTTGCAACATCTACCCTGCAGTCACTGTACATAGGCTTAAGAGTGACTCCATGTTAATTCAGTTCTTTGGCTGGAATTAAGACACTGGATCTGATTTGATTTTTTTTTTTTTTTTACTGTGTTACTTTCAATCAAAAAAAAACATTTTCCAGTGGGTGGTGCCTAACAAAATATGAAGCAGAGGTGTGAGCACAAAGGAAAGAGACATTATAAATGCACAGAAATACACCGTGTCAACACATACCAGCTTCCCAATACATACAAAATTATTTATAGATAGAGTCTACCACCTGGGTTAAGCCATTATTAAAATCAAGCAGAAAAAAAATAGGAGAGGGAGGGAAAAGATGAAAAAACACTACAGCAAGAATCATTAAAGCTCATCAAAAGTGCATTAGAGAACACCTGATAAGATACTCTGAACTTTAATGATCCTTACGCTATACCATATTAATGCAGATGTTATCTAAACTCATGGAAACAAAATTTTCCATTCACACATTTCCCTAAAACAGGCGTTGGGAAAGAAACCTCTCTCAAAACTATGAGTTGCCAGCACTTTTTTTTCTGTCTCCAGAAGCAAATAAATAAAATAATGCCTCTGAATCTGTGTGTGTTGTTGATTACAAACCTCAAACAAGTACTCTGACTTTGGGATGCTTGTTGGCATTCACTGACAACATGTTACAGTTAAAATGGATGATGGTAAACCAATATTAATAAAAAGGCTGTGATTGCGTTGGCTTAAATTGGACTACTATTGCTACTAAGATCAATTTTACCGGCAGCCTTAAACCCTTGCAATTTCCCCCCCTTTCTGTTACAAGGGAGACACATGAATGACAGAATTGATAGTGTGACTGTTATAAGGTGCTAAGTTCCAGGTTATGGCAAGAACAGCTTAGTTGTCTGAACTGAACTGAAATGGAGGTAAAAAAAAATAATTCTAGGCATTGCTTAAGTCCTATGTTCCTCCTTTACAGAGACTGCAAATCATGTCAAGTTCTGCATAAATAGGTTTTGTGGGGGTATTAGAGGGTGAATTACTGTCATCTAGGTGCTAGTGATTAGTAAAGCAAGGACTATCAAACCCATTTTGCCAAAATCCAATGTGAACTGCTGCTCTCAAAGAAAGGTCACCCAGTCAAGAACACTTCATAACAGAAGTGATGAAACAAAACAAAAAAAAAAACCTCAAAAACACACATAAATTCTTACAAAGGAGTGGTTTAGAAATACAAGTCACCCCTAAAGACCATTCCCTTATTGCTATTTGAAAGCTGAAAAGAAATCTTCCTAAACAAGGAGCTGAAAAGGTTTGCAGCTTCTAGAAATAAGGGAAGCAGGAATTATTTTTAGTGCAGCTGAGAGGCCAGGCATATTTCAGGCAATCTTGCAGAGCCTGCTTCTATACCATGTGGGACATACAAACCCACAAACTACGAAAGAACCCAAATCAGTATTGTTTTTTTTTAACTGACATCTATTATCCCTCATCTGAGAAAATTTACACGTGTATCCAGAAGCTCAATAAACTAAGCTCAGAGCTAAAACTCTAGGATTAACTCTTTCTGCATCAGAAGAAATGCCATCTTTTAAGTTAACAAACTGCTAATATATTCTATTTTATATTCAGTGCTGAGACAAGAGGGGCACAAAATCACAAAACAGAATATATAAACCTTTAGAATCAGTTTTGAGTAATGTTAAGTTTGATGGCATTGTAACAGTAGCAATGGAAAATTACTGAGTTGCATGATACACATCCAAAATCTGGAAAAACTAGTAAAATACTAAAATGAGCTGTGCTGTCGTCCCAGCAATACCAGAGAGGAACAGATGATGGTAACATGCTGGGGCTTGTCCTATGCCTACAGAGTGTCTTTGGAAAAAGATGTCTCTGGATCTGATGGCACAGCCACAGAAAATGCAGCTATTCAACTCCCCAAGCACAGCAGCTACACCAACCCCAACAACAGACACTGTAGCCACTCCAACCCCAGTAATAGATGCTGCAGCTAAACCAAAGGACCAATCCGTGACAATATCAGTTGCCCCTATAAGCAAGGGGAAAAGCATACGAGAGCCACAAAGAGCAACTTGTGCAGTGAAGAAAGAAGACACAATACACATACTACAGGGGACAGCATCTGAAAAAGAGTTATTAATACAGGAATCAGAGGAAAAGGAAGAAGAAGAGGTAAGTTCTCAATCCCAGACCTCAACCGAGCTGTGGAATATGCAAAAAACATTTCAGCCGTCATCCAGGGGAGCACATCGTCACCTGGTTGCTCCTATGCTGGAACAATGGGGCCGATGGTCACAAAGTAGAAGGTAGGGAAGCCAAGCAGCTGGGATCACTTGCTAGGGAAGGGGGAATCAACAATGTGATTGCAAAAGAGAAACCAGACCTCAGCCTTTGGAGGTGGTTCTTGGCAGCTGTGAAGGAAAGGTTTTCCTACAAGGATGATGTTATGTGTCCCTCAGACAAGGGGACCACGTTAGAGAGAGACCTCCAATACCTGAGGGAGTCACATAATCTAGAGATGATCTATCATAAGCCAGATGCCAGGAATGCACCCATAAATCCATATGAAGTCGAATGTACATGACTCGTGGCGGAATCTTACATGGAGTGTGCCACCATCATATGCCCACTCATTGGCATCAGTGACCTGGAGTGAGGCAGCACCACAAAACTGGTGAGTCATCAACTTGAGAGATCAAAGACAATCTCACCCCTTCCATTATTTCAGCTGTGGAAAAACTCCTGTCCCAGGAGGACAAAAAATTGAAAGAAGATGACGTTGGGAACTCCATACAGCTGCCTTCCATCTCCGACACTTCCAAAGCACTGGAGGGGCTCAGTGGACTAGATGCTTGCTCATACTGTCCCACACACCCTGCCACTCATCACTGTCCAGCCTTGGGGAAAACCTCTTGGTCCTCCTATATTGTTGTCTAACCCTAGACAAGACCCAAACCCTACTCTCCTTAACTTTCGAGATCAGACAAAACGGTCATGGGTAAAACACACTGTGTATGTGTGCCCCATCACAATCAGCAGGCAGGTCCCAAGGGTACCCAAAGGCCATTCAAAACCTTCAGAACTCTCAAATGATGCTGCTGTACTTGTCACTGGGGCTGGTGTAGCTGCTGTGCTTGCTGGCTCTCTCACCACCAGCTTCTCTTTTTCTGAGTCCAGATCTTCCTCCTCTGACTTGCTGGGAAATGCTGCATGGTCTCCAGCATCCTCCGCTTGTCCCGGGTACCCGAGGCTGGACCCAGAGGCTCCCAAAGGTGGTATCTTGCTCTCTGCATCCTCCTGGGGCTCGGGCTCGCAGGGCTCGGTGGGCGGCTGTCGGGGGATGCTCTCGGGCGCCGTGGGGCTGGGCTCGGCTGCGGGGCCCGGTTCTTCCGCCACCTCCTCCCGCTGCTCGGCAGCAGCCTTCTTCCCCTCCTCGACCGCCCCGACCTCCTCCAGCGTCAGCCGCTCCCTCCCGGCCTCCGGCCCCGCTCCCTCCGCCGCTTGGTCACCGGGGCCGCTCTCCCGGGACACTTCGGCTGACGCCAGCTCCCGGGGCCGCTCCCCCTCGGCTCCCTGCAGCCTCATGAAGACGGAGGCGAGGACGAGGGCCAGGACGGTGAAGAGCAGCGGGACGGCCAGGTACAAGCCCACAGCCACGTCCATCCCGCCGTGCTGCTGGAGCCCGCCTGTATTACAAGTCATTACCGTAAAGCACAGTGAAACAAGGACCTTAGCCCAAGGCCCCCATCTGATAAACACTAACACAGCAAATACCAGCTCTAAGTAAGGTATGACATGCTGAAACTATGAGATCAAAAGCAACAACTTTGAGAGCCAATAAATCAGCATTGTGAGGAGCGGCTATTAATCTGAAACAATAAATACTTATCACAAATACGATTAGACACACAGTGGTCAGATCTGTAGTTATCTCAACCCTTCCTGCCCCAAGTTGGGTGCCAAAAAGAACTGTTGTGGTTTAAGCCAAGTGGTTTGGAGAAACAAATGTGTGAACTGCAGAATAACAGTCAAGGATGATCCTCCCAAGAAAGTTGCTGCTCCAGTCTTTGGTGAGCAGCTTCCCATATGGAGTTGAAGAGCTCGTTTTACTCCAAATCCTGTGATAAGGAATTCTAATCCCTTTCTACAAGACCTAGGTGTACAATCTTATGATCACTATTAGAGGGGCCTTGCCTCCAGCCAGGTGGAGGTGGAGGAGAGAGACAATTGGGTTTATTGGATTGTATGGATCAGACAGCCTGGCACATCAGTCCCACAGCAGTATAAGGCTCTAGTAGAATCTGGTGCACAGTGTACCCTGATGTCATCAAGCTATCAAGGGGTGGAACCCATTTGCATTCCTGGAGTGACAGGAGGATCCCAAGAGATGACTGTACTGGAGGCTGAAATCAGCCTGACTGGGAAGGAGTAGCAAAAGCACCCTAATGTGACTGGTCCAAAGGCTCCATTCATCCTTGGCATAGACTATCCTTCTGCTGTGGGGTTGCTGAAGGTCACAGTTTGTTTTTACTTGTAGGGATGTCAGGACACTTGGAATTGACTGCCCCAGGATCAAGCTCCAGAACACCTGCAATACATTGATGATATTATCATGTGGGGAGATACAGCAGAAGTAGTTCTGGAGAAAGGGAGGAAAATAATTCAAATCCTGCCGAAGGCCAGTTTTGCCATAAAATGGAGTAAGGTCAAGGGACCTGCACAGAGAATTCAATTTATGGGGATAAAATGGCATGATGGATGTCACCATATCCCCACAGATGTAATCAGCAAGATAACAGCAGTGTCCACCAACTAATAAGAAAGAAACACAAGCTTTGTGTTTGGGGTGTTTTTGGGTGTTGTGGGGTTCTGGAAAATGCACATCCCAAATTACAGTCTGATTGGAAGCTCTCTCTATCACATGACCCAGAAGAAGAATGATTTCAAATAAGGCCCTGAGAAACAGCAAGCCTTTGAACAAATTAAATGAGAGACAGTTCATGTAGTAGCCCTTGGACCAGTCCAGAACAGGCAAGATGTAAAAAATGTGCTTTACACCACAGCCGGGGAGAATGGTCCTACCTGGAGCCTCTGGCAGAAAACTCCAGAAGAGACTCAAGGTCGACCCCTTGGCTTTTGGGGTCAGGGATACAGAGGATCTGAGGCCAGCTATACCCCAAATGAAGAAGAGATACTGGCAGCCTATGAAGGGGTTCAAGCTGCTTCAGAAGTGACCTGCACTGAAGCACAGCTCCTCCTAGCACCCTGGTTGCCTGTGCTGGGCTGGATGTTCAAAGGAAGGGTCTCCTCTACACATGGAATCATAGAATCATTGAATAATTAGGGTTGGAAAGGACCTTGAGATCATCTAGTTCCAACCCCCTGCTATGGGCAGGCACATCTCGCACTGAACCATGTCACTCAAGACTCCATACATCCTGGCCTTGAACACTGCCACGGATGGAGCATTCTCAACTTCCTTGGGCAACCCATTCCAGTGCCTCACCACCCACACAGTAAAGAACTTCTTCCTTACATCTAACCTAAACTTCTGTTTAAGTTTAAACCCATAAACTTCATGGAGTAAGTGGGCTGCACTAATTACACAATGAGCTTGAATAGGAAATCCCAGTCTTCCAGGCATTCTGGAAGTCATCATGGACTGGCCAGAGGGCAAAGATTTTGGAATGTCACCAGAGGAAGAGGTGATGTGTGCTGAAGAGGCCCCACCATACAATAAACCGTCAGAAAGTGAAAAGCAGTATGCCTTGTTTACTGATGGGTCCTGCTGTATTCTGGGAAAGCATTGGAGATGGAAGGCAGCTGTATGAAGACCCTACGACAATTTGCAAAAACTGCTGAAGGCAAGGGTGAATGGAGTCACTTTGCTGAGGTGAAAGCCATCCAACTGGCCTTGGACATTGATGAATGAGAAAAATGGCCAGTATCTCTCTCCTGACTCATGGATGGTGGCAAATGCCCTGTGGGGGCATTTCTGAACATGAAAAATAGTGACAAAATGTTTAAACCTCAAGGTTTAAGTGGCTGAACAGCAGACCTCTAGTTTTCTAAATTTCCAGATAGTCACAAATCCTGCTAAAATAAAAGGCACTGAAGGAAAGCTGAGCCCCCTTCATGGCATTTAGAGTTAAACAGGGTGTGGATGCCTGAAGTCCTGAACTTTGAAAATTCTGGGCTACCTATTTGCAATTGTAGGCACATTTCCTGAGCAAATTGTGTTGTGACGACTGAACCTTGGCAAATGTCACTTGAGCAGGGTGCAGACAGCAGAAGAAGAGCCGTTGTTCCTGGGCCCCAGAGGGAGGAGGCACCACCAAGGCAGATGGGGACTGCGCTAATGTGGCACCTCCCCAGGGCAGCCCCCAGTGCATGGCCTCCCGCAGGCTGCCACTCTCCCTGGGGACAACCCAGGGATGGGGATCTGCAGAACCACCTGCCTCCCCGAGGTGCCACAGGGTCCACCCCACACTGCATGGCATGTCACATGGTGCCACGTGCCACCCCAAAAAACATGGCATGTGGTGCTGTGTGCGCCACACTGGACAGACTGGTGGGGAGGTGGCAGAGGGGTTCCTGCATGTGCCACCTCAGATGGTCTAGCTGAAGGGGTGCCATAGGTGACACTCTCCTTGGCTCAGTGAGGCTGAATGCAGCTAATCTGTTTGCATGTCCTGCGATGAAGATGCAGTGCACAGAGACAGAATGAGCTTCTGTGATTTCGCGACAACAATAAGAACCTCCAGACCTTTTCTCCTGCTAGTGTTACTAACAACCTCCATATTGTCATCTATCCTACCTAAGCTAACAGTTTATAAACTGCTGTCCTGGGTTCAGCAGTAGCAGTCATGTTTTTTTTTTTTTTTTTCCTTTGTGTTAACTGGTGCAGTGCTGTGTTTTGACTTCTAGTTTGAGAGCAGCGTTGGTGAAGCCGATGTTTTCGGTTGTTGCTAAGTGATGTTTACCCTGACCAAGGACTCTGTGAGGCTCATGCTCTGCCAGGGAGGAGGGGAAGCTGTGAGGAGGCAGAGACGGGGCGCCTGACCCGGGCTAGCCGGGGAGGTATTCCATACCACAGCACGTCATGCCCGGGGTGGGGGGTAACTGGGAGTTACCCGGAAGGACAGGAGCTTCCGGGTGGAACTCGTTTTCTTGGCCGGTGGTATCGTATTCTCTTCCCTTGTTATTTTCCCTTATCATTGTTTTAGCTGATAGTAGCGGTGGTGATTTGTTGCTGGACTGTTCTTGTCTCAACCCGTAGGAGTTGCACTCTCTCGATCCTCCTCCCTGTTCCTCCGGGAGCGGGGAAGGGGAGAGCCCCGGTGCAGGGGGGGGGGGGAGACGGACACGGACCTTGATTGTTGTCAGCTCGGCACCACTCACTGGGAGTGAGTGAACAAGTTACCTGACTGGGTTTAAACCACGACAGTTCTTTTTGGCGCCCAACGTGGGGCACGAGGGGTTGAGATAAGAACAGATCTGACTGGATTGATAGTCACTCGTCACAATGCTGATTTATTGGCTCTCAAGGTTTTTCCTCTTGATCTCACAGTTTCAGTATACCATATCTTACGTCCATCCGGTATTGGCTGTATTAGTGTTTTTCAAGTGTGGGGCTTGGGCTAAGGTTTTTATCCCATTGTACTTTATGGTAATGACTTGTAATACAATAGAATCATTGATCATGAAACTGATCTGGTTTATGTTCCCAGTGTGGTCACCACCTTTATACTTTGGGAGGTATATGATGGAGGTGCTTAGCAATTACACATCTTTTTTCTCCTTCTCAGGTGCTCAACCTGTGAAGGAGACATCCTTTTACCCTCCTAGTCGTCCCCCCAGACCATTTACATTTGAGAGTTTTGAATTTTTTAAATGGCCTTTTAATGCTGTTGAGACTTGTTTACTGATGGTGATGGGAATCACCATGCTAACACGCATACAGAGTGTGTTTTGCCCACTACTGATTTCAAGAGTTAAGCAGATTCAGGTTTGGGTCTTGTCTGGGGTCAAAAGACGATGTAGGAGGACCGAGAGATTTTCCCAGAGGCTGGACAGCCATGAGTGGCAGGGTGTGTGGGATAGTATGGGCAAGTATCTAGGTCAGTGGGCCCCTCCAGTATTTTGGAATTTTACTACCGAACAACTGCAAAATCCAGAAGAATTAGTAAAACACTTAAATGAGGTGTGTGGTCATTCTGGCCATACCAGAGATGGACAAATCACGGCAACGTGCTGGGGCTTGGCCTATGCTTACAGGGCCTTGTTCAACACTATCCAGCACCTTCAAAAGGAAAAGAATATCGGCGGATTTGAGGGCAAAGCGACAGTCGCTACTCAAACTTTGGCTGCAATGAACTGCGCAGCTACCCCAGTGGCAAGTACAGCAGCTGCTCAAACTTCAACTGCAACAGACAGCGCGGTTACCCCAGCTCCAAGCACGGTAGCTACACCACCCCCAGCAACAAGTACAGTCGCTACTCAAACCACAGTGATAATCACTGCAGCCAAACCAGAGGACCAATTCGTACCAATATCAGTTGCCCCTGTACGCAAGAGAACAAGCAAAAAGGAGGCAAAAAGGGTGAAGCGAGATGAAGAACCAATGAATTCACCACCCGGTCCAGAATCTGATCAGGAGTCATCCTCACATGACGAAGAAGAAGAAGAAGAGGTAA